CTCTGGGTCGCAGAGAAGGGGGTTGGGAGAAGGAGGGGGATCAAGAAGGGAGGCTGCGCTCTCTTGACGGTAAAAATGAGACTTATCTCTACCACAGCATCTCGATTCAGGTAATCTCTGTCGCCGGTTCTGAGTGGCCACACATTAAGAGGGCCTGCGGACCTGGAGGGGTCGAACTTTTACCCTGCATTAACTCTCTCCTCGTGGATTACGCCGGAACATTTGATTTCAGTGAAGATATTTTGTCTCCCTCAAAACACAATACGCACTTCAGGATTTTCTTGCGGCCTCGCTGATGTATCTCGATAGACTTCCTTACTTTCAGTGATTACGTCATCGATTTTGAAAGAGGACACATTCAGGGTATTCTCACCCCGTCGGCGGGACTTTTCACTGCAAGTTGCAGGAATTCGGTTTTCACCTCAAATAACATCGTTGATAAGGTTGGAATTCAACTTGCAGTCCCCGCGACCGTTCCATGGTCAGACTGGAGACCTGATAAAAATTATCGGTGAAAGATAAAGAAAAACCAATCGGCTCAGGAGATTTTTGAGTTTATCGATACCTAAAATGTAAAACTACGTATCTCAATTTCGGTGTTTCAAAATTTCCGCTCCTACTTAACTTTTTCGAGAGACACGCCTCTGTTAAAGCTTCAAATTTATACAGAATAGTATTCCGAGAATACTCTCCTATAGGAAAGGAAAAATGAAGAAAGTTTTCATGAAATTAAGTTGCCTAGTTTTCGACAGATAAAATAAAGTATGACAGGATGTCTGCCGTGCAGGCTCGGACTGGCCATAAAGCCAATCTGCCATCGGCAGATACGCCCCCTTGGCACGCCGGAACCGCGCCCCTCTGACAGATAGCAAAATATAAGAAGAGAAAAAAAATAATGACCGAAAATATATGCGGAAATTTTCTTAAATGAACGGAAGAAGAGAGAGTTAGGAGAAAAGAAAGGTGCTTTTAAGCATGATAGTGGTGAACAAGGGTCCAAGAGCTACTTTCTGAATTGTGAACACTTTTCTGTGAAATTTTCACCATTTTGGTGACATACAGGCACTTTATCATCGCCGTCCTTCATTCGCTATGTGCAACTCCCTTGGAAGTGATGGTCGGTTCGATTTTTAGACGTGCGCACCCTTTATATACCTCTTGAGAGACCTTTAAACATATTTCTTCCTTTTCAAAATGACAATTGATTTAGACATACCATGGCATATCTTAGGCAAACTTAACCTTAATTTATCTCGAAATTCAAAAATAAGAGACATCTAAAGTGCAAACGCGATACAACTATTCGCTCAAGATGGATATCCACATTGCATATCGACGGTGAAACTACCAAACCACGTATCTCGGTTTGCGACGTCGCAGACTTCCTGTCATACTTTATTTTTTAAATGATGAACTACTTAACGTCCAGTCTTGAAAATGTCTGTGATTTTTCCTCTTCGTGCAGAGAAAATTCTGTGAAAATCTCGAGGAATGATATTGATTTGGTCTACTTCAAAAAAATAAAATGTGAGCGTAGATTTTTAAACACCGCAAACGAGATACGTGGTTTGGTAGTTTCACCGTCGATATGAAAAATGTAAGACGCGATGGCATGAGTCGTGAACTCGCAATGTTCTGTTCTATGCTACAAGTTTGAAGCACCATTACGAATAAGACAAACGGAAACAAACCCAATATGGAAATAAAGCTAGGGAAAGGATGCGCGTTCACGACGGCGCAGAGATACAACTATTCGTACTTGATGGACGTCTGTGCTGCATCTGAAAAATTGAAGGCGCGATGACGCGAGGCGTGAGCTCTCATTGCTCTGCTATATGCTGTCAATGAGGGGTCGCTCATATTCGGGAGAAAAGTTAAAAAAGAGGCCCGAACACATCTCTCCTACCTTCGGCTGTGTTACTCACATAATGCTTGAAGCACAATCACGAATAAGACAAACGGAAACAAACACAATATGGAAATAAAGCGAGGGAAAGGATGCGCGTTAATGACGGCGCAGAGATACAACTATTCGTACTTGATGGACGTCCGTGCTGCATCTGAAAAACTGAAGGCGCGATGACGCGAAGCGTGAGCTCTCGATGCTCTGGAGCTCTGCTGTATGGTGTCAATGGGGTGTTGCCCAGATTCGGGAGAAAAGTTAAAAAAGAGGCCCGAATACGTCTTTCTTGTCTCCGGCTGTGTTGACACTCGTTCTTTCTTCTTTTTTCAGGTTCTTGTCTGATTCTTTTTTAGGAAGGCTTTAATTGCAGACCCACGTCTTAAGCTCGTGTAAGCCGCAGCACTGGCTCGGTTATTTTGGAAATAATGGTGCTTGGATGCGTCTAGTGGCTTCAATTTTTTGTTTTCTTTAATTTCAGAAGTTTGTCGGCTACCTCAATACGTTCAATTTTGCAATTTTTACTCTGTGCGAACTTGTGCTGCTTTGCCAAGATTTTCTGAGCCCCCCTCCACGTAGGGAATGCTCTACCAGGAAATATCACATCACGCCCCTTTAACCAGCCAAGGGTCTACGCCCTTAGATGCAAGCCAGTCCGACCCTGCTGCCGTGCTTAGGCAAAACGCCGTATAAGCCTTCAGACTTTGTCAAGTTTCCTCCGATAAAAACCGAATTTACTGGGAAAATTCTGAAAATTATTTTCCAAAATTTTCAGACAATTTTGCACGCAATTTAATACAAAATATCTGAAAATTTCAAGGAAAAATATGCATGAATGTTGTCAATAATACATGTTTTATCAAGGGAAATTTGGCAACTCTCGAATGTTCATACGGGGTTCTTCCTCAGCACGGCAGAAGTCTGCAACGTCACAAACGGAAAACACATACTTCGGTAATCGATATCTTTGATAATAATAAAAAACGCATAGAAGTTTAAAAGTGGATCCTCCAAAATTCCTTTTAGATCCAGCCCTTTAGATGTTTAACGTGACGGTAAAAACCTGAAAAAATTGTAATTTCATCGGAAAATTTGATGTTCAACCTCTCTCAATTATATCTGCATGGTTCCGCTGTGAGACAGCCCGAGATGCAAATTTTCATGAAACTTTATGTAATGAAATTTCACGAATTACTTTAAAAATTTCTGTAACGGACGTATTATGCCATGCAAAGCACGGAAAAAAAGTAAAATCTCAATGTTGAATTTTGAAAAAAAGAAAGAAAAGTCACGAGTAAAATGTGTAAGTTTCTCATCGAATTCTCGGACAATTGTTACGGGTTGCATACGGGAGCCTTTGAAAATTCGGGGAAATTTCACCTTTCAACAGGATGAAATTTCGCTCTTCATCTCTGTATTTGCCATATTAATTTAGCTCCCGCTGGACGCACTTATAGACATTTTCTTGTACCAAAAAGAAAAATAGGTAAGTTTTCTTGTTGCCAATCGGACGCACTCCGTGGGACGGTTTAACCCCGGGCGCCGCACCGGCATTGCTTAAATCCCATTGTAACGCGGAAGCCGTGGCTTACAAACATCCCCCTTGTTTAGGCAGAAATTTATGAATATTTTCTCTCGAAATTTTTAGATATTTTAGATTAAATTGCAAAATAATCGTCTGAAATATTGGGTGAAAAATATTCACACCTTCCCCAATAAATTCGTATTTCATTGATGAAAAAGTGGTAACGCCTCAGAATTCGTAGGGCTTACCTTTCCCTGGAAGCAACGCCCGTTAAAAAAAACTTTTAAAAATCTCTTGAATTTCAAGCGACAAATTTTTTTAAAAAAAACTGTTAAAATGTTTGTTTTAGGAAAATCCTTTTTGGCATTTTATAAAGTAAATGTGGTGAAAGTAAAATTAATAAGCCGTAAAATTTTAGTAAAAATGTGTTAAAAGAAACTCGTAACATATCAATTGTACAGTTTTTCAACACTAAAAGTGTTTTAAAAAATGTTAAGAAACTACACTCGTATGTTCTGAGTTTGTTCATAGCACTTTTTCCTTAAATTTTATCGAAAACTTACCTCGCGTAAATTTTACTAAATATAGCCAAAAGGGATTCCTAATACGAATATTTTAAAAAAAAATTTTGAAGAGTTTCTGAAAAAGGTCAATTTCAAGTTGAGGTCATTGCTACGGCAGAATACGTAACGTGAACATACGTAAACGCGTATCATTAAATCGATCGCATTTAGCAAATAGTGTATTTTTCTTCGGAAAATACACTAAACGGAACCAGCGCAAATGGACTGCGTTCAACAGAAAGGAACCAAGCCACATCAGCTATTGCCAATTTTAATTGGGCAATTTAATTTTTTACAAGAAAACGTTTGTGCGGATCCCTTTCAAAATGTTAAGGAATTTGCTTTCTACTATGGAGGAAATTCACTGAAATTTGCACGAAAATCCGCACAACTGTTTTCATATAAAAAATTAAACTAGCCAATTAAATTTGACAATAGCTGATGTGGCTTGGTTCCTTTCTATTTAACGCGGTCCAATTATTAGTGTTTCCAGAATCGTGCAACAGCTCCACTTGAAAGAAAAGAAAAAATAAGAAAAGAAAAAAAAACCTTACTATTTATACATTATTAAAATTTACACGGGTATTTTCCTTTAAAATTAATTATTTTTTGGTGGAAAGCCCTATTTGCTATTCTAGGAGACTTTTTAGATGGTTATGGTGGAGGAACATCTTTACAACACTGTATTCGCGCTGGTTCCTTTTTGCTAAATGCGATCCAAATTTCTGGAATTCAGTGATATCTCACGGGTGTAGGATTTCATGAAATATTTTTCCAAGTTCTTGTCGCCCCCGTCTAAAGCTGTGTTTGGGGGTTGACCAATCATTGCTGAGACTGACCAATCCGAATGAGCCTCCATCATCGCAGCGATGCGACGATGCGGCCGAGCGAACGAAAACCCGATCGCGAACCCCCCTTCCCCCGCCGCGTGTCCCGCGATCCCTTGCGGTCCCGGAGGTGCTGCTCCGCCGCGTCGCTGCCATCGCGTACGCGTTCTCAGTTTGGTGCCGAGACGTCTACCGAATGCACGTCCGACTGCTCCACGGTCCAGTGTGATTCTCGCGTGTTTCGCGTTTCGTTCTTCTCAGCTCAACTTTTTGATCGGCTAATTTCCTAAACAGTCAATTTACAACACTCATCCCGATCGTAACTTTCAATCTTTCCTCCGGAATTCAATTACCGTGCTTTGGAATTCTCGTTCAAGTGTTTCGCAGTGCGATTTTGTTGTGTCTTGTTATTCCGTGCGGTGTGTAACCTAATCAAATCGTGTTCTCGTCGCCGGGTGCAAAGAGTGTTTCGAACGGTGTTTTGTTTTCAATTCACGCGATTGTTCGTGTAGGTTTTCGATTACCTCCTCAACTGTGCGTCGCTCTAAGAGTGAGAATTGGAGGTTAGTTTGTTTGTTTACATTGCGAAGGTTCAGTGATCAGTTTCCTCGGATTAAATCATAGTGGAAGATTGAATTAGTTCTTCGCTGACCAGGTTTAACTGTATTGAGTGCGCGTATGTTTGCGTGGTTCGAAATATGCAGAGTCTCAGAGAGTGTTCGAAACGTGTAAGTTTCTCAAAGGTCACTTAACCGTGCGGTTTGGATCCGAGCCGGGGAATTGAGAATCGACAAAGCACAATGGAATCCGAATCGACAGGCTCACTCCTGCGGGAGAAGAAGGCGAAACAATCGAAGACGGTTTCGCGAAATTGGATGATTTTTTTGAGCGGTCTGTGCATGACGAGTTTGGCCGGGAACGCGTATTTCGCGTACCGACAAGTTGTTCTCGAGTCCCGGATGGATTCGCTGGAAGCGCGTTTCCGAGGCTTCGAGGAGCGGGATATGGGTTTCGGATTCGTCGAAAAGGCTAAGCGAGAGCCTTTGGCTAAGGATACCGACCCGGAGACCAAGGACTCCAAAGCCATCGCCTCTTTGCGGGATGCTGCCCAAAGGAACAAGCGGGAACTGCCCGATTGCGGATGTCCTCCAGGTTTGTGCCTTTCCATCCTCAACTGGACCGCGTTAGGCAAGAGGGAACTAAAACATATCAGACATCGGCAAATTTAAAATGGCAATTTAATATTTTGCATGTTAACTGTCTCGCGGATTTTTGTGCTAATTTCAGTGACTTTGTTTAATTGTACAAAGCAAATGCCTATTAATATTCAAAAGAATCCGCACAAACGTTCTCCTGTAAGGAAAAGGAGAGAAAAAACTTAACAATAATTCCCCAGTTAAATTTCGCCATAGTTGATGTAGCTTGGTTCCTTTCTGCTAAACGCGGTCCACACTTTTCTGTTGTGGTAACTCGATGGCCAAAGTACGAAACCACGTAGCGACGTTGTAGAGTTTCTGTCATATTTTCTATTCTCTACGGAAAACTATTCAACGTTATTTTTTGAGCACTTCCTCGAGTTTTCTTCTCCGCCAGAAGAATATTCTGTATAAATTGCAAGCTATACAATTAGCATGTTTCTCATCGAAGAAAGAAAATAGGGGCGGAAATTTTGAAACACCGCAATACGTGGTTTCGTACTTTTTATTTTTTTAAATAGTTTGTTTAACGGTTAATTTTGTTCATTACTATCTGAATGCCGCTTTAATCCTCGCGCTTCACTAATTTGTAGCCCTGCGCAAAAGCCGCAGGGACGCCGGCTGAAGTCCCGTCCCGTGCTAAGGAACAACGCCGTATGAGCATTCTAAGTAATGTTGCCCAATTTTTTCTCAGAAAATATTTATTTTCGAAGAAAGTTATTAATATCTTTTCTTTAAATTGTCAGACACTTTAGATCAAATTACGAACAAAACTCTCTGAAAAGTTGGAAGAAAAATATTCTAAAATTTTGTAAAAAAAAATCCTGATTTGTCCAAGGAAATTTAGCAACGTCTGAAGGCTCATACGGCGTTCTTTTCTTAGCACGGCAGCGTGGAAACTATAACTGCGAAAAATCCCCTCAGTTTTATTCCCGCGATGTAACCCTTGGACAAATCTTATGAGAACATTCTGTGGAGACAAGGCTAAACTGCTGAAATCTCTTCTTTAACAGCTCTGAGCAAGTCGATATATTTTACTGGAAAGAAATCCTTTTTCGGTAATTTTCGAAATAAATTTTATACTTAGCAAAAGTTCCCGCGTAAGTACAAGTTTAAAGTGTTTCTCTAAATTAATATTACACCTTTCGTCAATTTGACGTTTTTCATTAAAAAAAAAAAAAAAAAAAAAAAAAAAAAAAAAACCACTGTAGATGAGTAGGGTGTTCTGCGTTTTTTTAAAAAAATGTATTAATTTTTTAAGAAAAAAATTTAAGAGCCATCCAAATTTTTTTAATAGTCCATATTATTAGGGTTGGTACTGGGTGCAGAAAAACCTTTGACTGAACTGGACTGTACCTAGAAGTTTATATTTTATTTCTTAACTTCTATTCACCCATCTTTAAACTCAAAAATCAGTCCTCTTCTCACGGCTAATCGCAAACGTCACATAAAGTTATTAGTATGGATCGTTTACATTTTTTTTAGAACCGTGAATTTTGGACACGGGGCTGCCGAAGTTGAAAAATAAAGCGAGTAGCAGAAATTTGAGCTGTTCAATGTCTGCGATCGTTTTTACTTTATTTTAGGTACCAAATCCCGTCCATTGGGGTATTATGCACATTTTTTTACTTGGCTGCTAATAGAGTTTGCTACTCTCATTAAAGTGCATTCTACGCTCTTTTTCGGCACAACATGCGTGTTTCTGTAATTACCACTTGCAACTCGCTTTTTGAGATACCTGTGACCTGTGTGTTTTCCGTCGAAAGCTCCTATGAAGAAAAGTCTTATTTTTCACGAAAAGAAGTTCAAGCATTGGAAAGTGCCAAGATTTTTGTCAATGCAGAAAGCTATGGCTGTCATTTATAAAAATGAAGCAAAAATAGGAGTAGAACATATTCATATGTAACAAGGTGGAGAAATGGTGCTGGGTCCACACCATTTCGCGGGGAAACAAAGCCAAGAAATTCCAAAAATTAAAATCAGAGTCAAAATTAAATTTGTTGGACTCTAATGCGCACCATTACGAAACTGAGAGTTCAAGAAATTTAATTTTCACTCTAATTTTAATTTTTGGAATTTCTTGGCTTTGTTTCCCCGCGAAATGGTGTGGATCCAGCACCATTTCTCCACCTTGTTACATACAGTTCGGGCCACTTCTTAGTCTTTTTTTTTTTCATATTTATATACTAATAAAAAATCAGGGACAAGAATGACCCCTAATTCAAATTTTCGCCCAGGTTTCGAAAATTTGGGCGTTGTTGCTCACCTCTGCAACATGATAGGATGCTCCTCGGGAAATACGAGTTCTGCCCTTTCAGACTAAAATCCGCCGACTGCATTGGAAGCCTTCTAAACTCCTCTTAATCGGGTCTGCACAGAGGATAATAAAATTGATAAGCTTCCAATATACTATGACTGTAAAGCGCCCCGTTACTTTTTAAGAGCTCTCCTCCCTCTCTCGCTCCACGACGCGACCTTGGACAGCGCTGCGAGTCCAAAATGTTTCCTATGTTCCCCAGTATTTTATGAATATTCATTCGAGCGCACGACTTTTCTTCCATTCCCCGCGCATTCCTCGCAACAATACGATTGGCACTGTTTTCTCGAGAGCAACGCTCGGCTATTGGTTGGGGATGAAGTTTCCTTTGGATTCAACTACGACGTTGCCACACTGTTAAAAATTCTGGAGTGAAATTCTCTGCCGGTCCCTATGTCGTCACCTCCCGGCCAAAGTATCACAAGCGCCATGCGACGTTTCAAAATTTCCGCCGCCATTTTATTTTTTACAAAAAGATTGCTGGTTGACTCTGTTTGAAAACTTCATTGAATTTCATCAGCAGCACCAAGAAAATTCAGTGACATTTTCCAACAGAGTCAACCGACAATCTCTGTGTAAAAAAATACAATAGCGACGGAAATTTTGAAACGTCGCATGACGCTTGTAATACTTTGGCTGAAAGCGCTCAAAAAACCCCGAGTGAAATGCGAAGCCGAATCTATGACCCTTACGGAGTGACTCTCAATCTCACTAAAAGGCCGGAGCGGAATCTAGTCTTTTTGCGGAGTGTCATACGCTTTCGTGAATTGCGCTCTAGTTAATTCATTACTCATGTACCTACTTACAATATGAATGGTCGTTAAAGGACCTATTAAGATCGTCAATGCTTGTGAATGGTTTTCTGTACCTAGCAGTCACTCTGGAATAGGGGTTGAGAATCTTCAGTGATCATTGCGAAAAATGTTTAATTTGTGGGAAGATCGTTAAGGGAGGAGTCGTGTAGATAATTGATTAAAAGAGCGTATAATTACGTTTTTTTTCTCAGAATACCTACCACTGCCGTGCCAAGGAAGAACGCCGTATGAACCTTCGAGAGTTTCCAAATTACCCCGGACAAAACATGTATTTTTGAAGAAAATTATACGGATTTTTCCTTGGAATTTTTAGACGTTCTACCGAGTTAAAATTGCGAACCAAACTGTCTGGAAAAAACTGAAGAAAATATTCACAATTTTCCTCGTAAATTAGGTTTTTATTAAAATAAATACGGCAACGTCTGAAGGCTCATATACTGTTTTCTTCCTTATCATGACAGTACAAGACTCTCGTTGGAAAATTTGAGAAACCTATCTAGTCTTGGCAAGCATGTAAGTAAGTACTTGCGTTCTCGAAATGCTGCTTTCATTTCAAATTAAATGCAGCTTGGGAGATTGAAATAATGGAGGAAAATCCCTCGGAGCTATACAAGTGCGACTTTGCAATGGCTTCGGGGTAAAAAGGGAGACGGTATGAAGGTAAAGCTCAAAGGAATGTGATCAAGATACCTTTATTTGCAAGCCTTTATTGAGACGGTGAGCATTTTCCTGTGCGCTTAATTAATTTGACACAGTAAATACTCAAAGCGTGTCGACTCGAACCTTTTCTTCCTTTTTCTGACCCCCAAAATTAAAACTCCATGATTTCCTCCGACGCACAAATTGGGGCCATGGATTATAGACAGTTCGTTTTTTGCCGAACGAATTAAGGGACGTAACTCCATTTTAAGGTTGCAAAATTGACTCAAACAATTTAATTTTGTCAAAGGCATGTAGGTACGCGCACAATGTTCGTCAAATTTGTTTCTGATCCATGCTTCAGGTCGAAAGGAAAATCAACGAAATTCACAGCTAGAAATGCCCTAGATTTTTCAGGAAAAATACAATTTGCGAGTGGAAATTTGGCAACATTGAAATGCAGTTACGGCCCTTCGTGAAGGAAGCGACGAATTGCAGTGAAATAACGCATATAAACTTGATAACAACAGTAACTCCAAAATTCGTCGGAAAATTGAAGTTTGGTCCAGCTGACTGATTTTCCCTCAGAAATCATCGGGAGGTATTGATCGTATTGATAAGTAAAATTCACACATTTCAGACACATGCAAAATCTCCATTTTGGAATCCTTTCATTGTAATTTTGTTCCAGTTATGGGATTGTCATTCCATATGTGCATTGGCGAGGTGTGAATGATCGATTATTGATTTTTCCCTCTTTGGAGCCATGATCGATTATTAAGGTGTTGGTTGCAAACGCCCCGTTTATCAATCCTTTTTCATAGGTTTAAATGGCAGTTCAATTGATACATCGCGAAGTACGCCACGCCACTGCATTTATAAGCGAGGTCCTGATGGCTTAAGGACCCAAGAGTTTCCTCCGTACAAGACCCTTGCCTAAGCTCATCATTGACCTGAAATTCTAAGATGACCAGGAAGACGGCTAACGGCAACGGCCTTGCTGGGCTCAATCCAGCAGGTGCCGATGCTAATAAGCGTGTTTACTCTCTTATCTCGCATATTTGTTCTTCATCTGCAAACGTTGTGATGTCATCCTTGTCAACAGCTCCTGTAGAGGACCCGACCAGGAATACTGCCGTGCTAAGGAAGAGCGCCGTATGAACCTCGAGAGTTGCCAAATTTCCT